CCGCCGAGCCCTTTGTGGGATCCGCCCGACTCGGGCAGGAAGCGCTCAGGCAGCGACCGCTCCCGCCGCCCGCCCTGCCTCCATCCCTTCCTGCTTTTCCTGCTCCTCCTCCTGCCACGGACCGACCTGGGCCGCCGCTACCCCGGGCAGCGCACACAGACCACCGGGCAGGGTGCACGGTACCCACCCCCGGCAGGGCACAGTCCCCCCCAAATAGGACATAAGGTACCCTCCTGGACAGGACACATAGTTCTCCTCAGGCAGGGGTCACTGTCCCTACCCCCAAGGCAAGATGCACAGTGGCTTCTAGACAGGGTACACTCACCCCACCCCAGGCAGGGTGCATGGTGTCCCCTAGGATACAGGACACAACCCCCCCAAGGCAGAGCACATAGTCCCCTCCCTGGGCAGAGTGCATGGTGCCTCCCAGGATACAGGAGATAGTCCTCCCTCAAGCAGGGCACATGGTGTCCCCCCAGACAGGGGTGCACAGTCCTACCAAGCTCCCCTAGAATGATGGAGAGGAGCCCTGGGAGTCTGGGGGTGCCAGAGCCTGGCCCCTGTGAGCCCCCATGGACACAGGAGCAGTGTACCCATGGGGGCTCCCCAAGCTCTGCCCCCCACACCCCCTGCTGCAGAGCCATGGGGGGTCATGGGCTTTTGCCCCATAGGGGCCATGGGGCAGAGCCCACTCCCAGGCATCCCCCTGGAGGACCTGGGGGTCCTCACAGGCACAGCCAGCTCGGCAGCCATCCCATTCAGTCAGCAGCCCCACAGAAACCCATGGAGCCCATGGAGCTCCCCATAGCCCCCAGCTGCCCTGGGGGCTCTGCCCCATAGGGGAGGCCAGTTCCTAGCTCCCGGCTCTGCATCCTGGTCAGGGCACATGCCTTGATCCATCAGGAGGGGCTGGCGCTGGTAGCACTCAATCCTCCCTTAAGGAGCTCTGACAATTCCGGGGCAGCCCTGGCTGCACTTCACACCTGCCTCCAGGGACGCCAATTCTTGGGCTGACCCCACCAGCTGCCCTTGGCTCCAGGGTCAGGGAGCCTGGGGGTACCCGGCCACACTGCCGGCGGAGCCCTGCAGCCCCACGTCCACCTGCTAAGCAGCAGCGGAAGAGGCGATATTGTGAGTCCCTGGGGAGCAGGTGGCTTTGGGTTTGGTCCCAGTCCTGGCTGGTCCTGCCTGGCTCCCAGCCTGCTGCCTGGGTGCTAAGAGCGCTCCCAGGCTGGTGCACGGGGCCCAGAGCAGAAAGCAGGGTCCCCGCCAGCAAAGGGGAAGGGGCAAGCAGGGGGTAAGTTGGGGGGCAGCAGCCCAGCCGGGCTGAGTGCCTCCTGCTCTGGCCCCACCCAGGGATGCAGTCACTTCCCAGCAGAGCCCCATTCCCTCCCACCAGCTCAGGGAATCGCCAAATAAGAGCAAAGTCTCAGCCAGGGAGATCAACCGGGGCGGGAACTTGGGTGAAGCCTTTGGGATCATGGCCTGGGAACTGCGGAGTTTCCCTGAGCCCTGCTGCACCCCGTGAGGTGGCCGGGGACAGGTCACCAGCTGGGGACACAGGGAGCTGGAAGGGGCTGCTCTGTCTAAACCCACTGTCCTGGCTGCACCCTGTTCAGCAGCCCCTGGCTGGAAAAAAGGGCCCCATGGGCTGTCCTTTCTGGGGACAAGGAGGTGGTGATGCCACAGTGGCCTCACAGAGCTGCTGGGAAGGGCTGCCAGCACCATGGATCTGCCAATCTGGGGTCAGGTGCTCTCTGGTCTGTGCCACCATCTGACCCCCCCTCCAAGTGCCTGGAGAAGTTGCATTTGCACCCCTTAGTGCAGTCCCTGTGAGCTTCATGCGCTGCCACCCCATGCTGGTGGCAGGGCAGTGCCAGAGCAGGGGGAGATTTATTTTTTTAAGGTATTTGTTGACATTTTTTCCAAGAGCAGGAGCCTGCCTGGATCGCTGTGATGGGCCCTGACCTGTGCTCACAGGCACACACTGTCCTGGCAGCCAAAGGGGGCATGAGGGTCCCCAGGGAGGCGGGTGGGTGGGTTCCAGGGGTCTACCCTGTGCTTCCTCTGCCAGAGCTGCGCTGGGAGCTGCTCTGCGCATCACCCCAGGGAGGAGGTGACACCAGCCCTGGCACTTAGTGCTGTCAGCACATTCAGGTCCCTGGCGCAGGAACCTGGCAACTCCCGGTGCCCCACACACAGCACAGCCTGCCCTGGCTTCGGCATGGCCCCAGGGCAGCTGTGCTGGTGATGGGCTCCCAGCCCTGCCCAAAACACCCACCTGCAGCCAGCCTGCCCTCCCTGACACTGCGGGAGTGCTTCTTCATGCCTCCCCGTCCAGCCCTTCCCTGGAGGGGTTGGTGGCTCCCATTCCCTGTATCTGCTGGGACAAGACTCCTTGCTGAAGCCCACAGACTTGCTGAGCCACTGTGGACCAAGAGTGCAGCAATGCACCCTCCCTGCCTAGGACAGCATCTCATGGCCCGCTGCCAGCAGCAAACTGCTCCACACCTCATGGCCGATGTCTGCCCTGTGCCACCATTTGCCCCTTCCTCCAAGCCCCTCATTAGGGACATCCTGCCCATGCTCAGCCAGATCCTGCACTGAGCTTGCCCTGTCCTGCACCAGCATGGATACAGTCAGACCAATACAGACCCCCACTACACACGGCAGCCGCTCTGCCCAGCTTGACGTGCCTGCCCCCCACCAGGATAAATG